TAGAAAAACAAACAAATGTTTATCAACTGATGAATGAATAAATAAAATGTAGGATAAATATATGGAATATTATTTGACCGTAAAAAGAAATAAAGTATTGGTACATGCTGCAAAACTGATGAACCTCGAAGACATGTTAGGTCAAATAAACCAGTCTCAAAAGACAATATATTTTATTATTCCGTTTATAAAAAATCCAGACTAGGCAAATCTATAGAGACAGAAGGTAGATTAGTGGTTGCCTATAGGTAGATTAGGGTTAGGGGGTGACAGCGAAAGGGTACAAGATTTGGGTGAGATGATAAAACTGTTTTAAAATAGATTGTGGTGATAGCTTTATAACTGTAAATATACTAAACATCATTAAGGTGTACACATCAAGGATTATATAAATAGTATGTGAATTATACCTCAGTAAAACTGTTTAAAATGAGAGAATATTGCTACTCAGAGCCATACCTTTGTATTAAGTTAAAAAAAAGAAAGAAAATTAAGGCAAATGCGGCAAATGTGATGAGATGAGAAAGCCGAATAGCAAAAATAAAGAAAAGAGAATGCAAGAATTTTAATTTTGCTTTAAAAATGACAAATCCTCAGCTTGAACATAAAGCTACTTCTTCCAACACCCATATTTTTCAAAGGCAGGCTCTGAATAATATGCGGCATTACACTTGAAGGAGTCTTATGCCTATTTTCCATTTCTTTTCACTTACTAGCCAGGTGACCTTGGGAAAGTGACTTAAATTGCCAGAGCCGCTGTCCGTTTGTTTGTTTTCGTTTAAAAGGAACCCCCATATTACAAGATGTCCAAATTCATATGAGGAACCCAAGAAATATTAGCAATATATATATTTTAAAGTAGTTCAGCCTAAAAGAAATTTGTGAAGTCCTGAATCAATATATCAATAGTATTAAGGAAATGATTGGAAAGTTTCTCTTTTCCAGTTCCAAAATACCAAACTGCATTCTTGTCTTTACTGTTAGCTAAGATTCCTAGAACTTTCTCTATTTTGTATTTAGTAAAGTAGCACCAAAGAAAACCACATTGCAAATACGATCTTCACTTGTTGGAGTTGGCACTGAGATGGAACCCAGCCTTTCAGTCTCTCACTGGAGACCATGATAAATGATTAAGCAGCAATAATTGCAGGCTTAATCTGACCATACCAAGGACAAAAGAATTTCATGATTGTGACTTTCAAAACTGAAGAGTCCATTGTCAATCTTAAGAAAAAGAGCTCTACTTCTTTTACGAAGGCAAGGATGGGAAAGCCCAGTAAAATCCAATTCTGTATGGTTTTCCAACTGAGGTACTTTCTTAACTATAGATAGGATTATTCAATTTATTCTCTTATCCTTAATGATTTTTAAAATTTCATTGTCTTAAGCTACCTTTTCGTGTTCTTAATTATATTTGATAGTCGGGGATCTAAAGAGCAATGGATAGACAAATCACTACCAAATGCTGCTTGGAGATAGGCTTTTAACTATGTTGAGTATTTTCATTCTTGAAACTCTTGGCAGCCATTAATGCTTCCCACATGATATCAATTAGAAGACAGAATAAACAGCCTCACAAATTGTATGCTGGCTTCTGTGGATAGCATGCTGGCAAAAAACACACAAAAGATTAGCCCAAAATTAGTAAATGAGACCTGGCAAGGGCCACTGAATTGAATATATTTTACAACTTTAACACACATCACAGGACATAACAGCAGCAGTTTCACAACTAATGAACAGGCACAAAAGAAGCTTGGAAAGGCTTAAAACAGAAAGATATAGTATTGCCATCTAAGCTCATCAAAAGAGAGTAGATTATTTCTACTTATTTAGGTGAACATAAAGCTACTCACTACCAAACATTAAAAAATAATATTTTTATTATCAGAATTAACAGTAATACAGTCAGTTTCAACAAATACCACAATTCAGGACATTTGTAATATCTATAAAGAAAACACAATAAATAACACTTATTCAGCTTTAGTAAGTATCAATAAAATAGTGGGTTCATCTTCTAGATAAGAGATAAAAATAAGAGATAAGGAAAAAAATATTCCTTATAATAAAATGAAGTCAACTGATTGCTGGCATTGGTTTATGATTTATTAATGCTCATCTTACTACAAAAATAAAAAAAGATTTAAAGGCGCTGGCAGCTACTTGTTAGAAGGACAACATATTGAATTCTTATTTCATTTGTAACATTTCAGTTGAAGTTTCCCAAAGGTAAATTTTGGTAAAAATATTATATTGAATTTGCATTTCATAACATTCAGAGAGAGGAGGAGTGGGGACAGAGAAACACAGTGAGAAAAAGAAATGCCTTTAAACCAAGCAAAGGAAAAGATTACTGAAGTATCAAAATAAGAAATAGGCTTTATTAAACAAAATACCTAGATATGATACCTCAATTCTTCTAGAGGACAAATGGAATGAGAAGCAAGGTAGTTGCTATGAGCTAAATGTTTGTATCCCCCCCCCGCCCCCGCCCCAATTTGTAGGCTGAAATCCTAATCCCCATGATGATGGTATTATGAGATGGAATCTTTGGGAGGTGATTAGGTCATGAGGGTAGAGCTTTCATGACTGGGATTAGTGCCTTTATAAAGAGACTCCAGAGAGCTATCTTGCGCCTTCTGCTGTGTTCGGTTACAGTGAAAAGACAGCTGTTTATGAGAACGACAGTCATCTATGAACCAGGAAGCAGACTCACACCAAACACTGAATCTGCCAGTGCCTTGATCTTGGGTTTCCCAGCCTCTACTATTGTAAGAAATAAATGTCTGCTGTTAATAAGCCATCCGTTTACATTATTTTTGTTACAGCAGCCCAAATAAATTTAGACAGTAATGCAGTATAATTGTGGGCTCAGAATGATCATTATGGGTAATGGTTTGGATTGGGGGAATGGAATTGGAGCTAAATATTCAACAATCCAAAATGGTCTCTTTTAAGTATAGAAACAAGTACAAAGAGCCTCAGCAGTGAAGGAATAGGATGCCATTTGGAGAAAGAAGTGAAGTCACTATCATTATGCAAGCTTTAGGGGGAGAAATTATATCCAATTGTGAACAAATTTTTCAGGAACAAATTTAACATTTAAACAGCACCTACCTAAATGGGCAGAAACAGGGGCTCAGGAGGTTCATTAAATTAGCCAAAGAGAACAGCTAATAAATGCTCTGTATCAGGTACAGTCCCATGACTCCTAAAAAAAGATGCTTTGTACCATAGTTGGAAACATTTGTTATATCTAACTACAATGAATATCTCAGATAAATGTAATAAGAAAAAAACAAACAAACACAAAAACAGCACCACACTCCGAGAATATCTTATGAGTTAATAAGCATCAACAGACAGCAGAGCCTCATAGTAACAGCAGGGGATGGATGGGAAACACAATGGAATTATAGACACAATAAGACAAAATTACTATCTTTTTAGGGGGGAAGGTTGATTTCAGAAACAAGTTGATTTCTGTTTTGAAAAAAATAATAAAAACGAAATAACTCCAAAATGGTAACAGTCGTCACTTTTTGGAGGTGAGTATGTAGAATTCTTTCTTCTCTCAAAGATTCTGTTAAAACCTCATTTAAAAACAACGTTTATAAAAACTATAAAATTATTAAAGTGACACTTCCCAATTTGAGCTTATTGATTAGAACAATAAAGTTCAAAAGTCCTTGGCTATGTGTAGTAGTCCCCAGCTGTAACAGTCCTCCTGTGAAACCCTCAACACTGCCAACCACTGGGCACAAAAACACTGCCCTCCGCACACATCAGTCCCTGCACAGTGGTGGTGTTGACTGCCTGCTAATAAAATGTATTTACCCAAGAGAACATTAGTTTATTCTCATACCCAGATCCTGAGTTAATATCTAACCTCCCTCTGTGGTCTGTTTTCCTCATCAATAAAATGGTGTTATAATCCCTATATTGCAGAGTTGTTGATGAACATAAATGAAAAGTGCTTAGCACAGGGACATGAGCATAAAAACACTCAATACAGTCACTGCTTATGTTATTATATTACATTCACTACCTTCATATCACCCATAATTAGCATAAATTAAAATAATTCTGCTTAGTCTCATTCTCTAAAAAACTATAATTGTGTAGGTATGTTCACTCTGGCATGAACAAAAGCATGGTTAGTGTAGTGAATGATCCCTGCTGTAATTACCACATTTCTCCAAAACAGCAAAGATTCTCTGCTGTGCTGTATTCTGGGAGCTGCCTGAAATTCAGAAAATGATTTAGAGGCTCAGTTCTAACACTGATCCATCCAATCTGACCACTAGGAAAGAAAGGCCCATTAGCCAGTCTTCAAGCCAGCAATGATTTCTGCTGATTATGAAACTGCCTCTAGCCCACACCAATTTCCTCACCTCATCTGCTTGTAAGGCTCTCTAACCACAAAACTAAGAAGCAAATGTATTCAAGAATTCTCCTATAAGCATAACTTTCTCTTCTTCTTCTTTTTTTTTTCTTTAATCCTCACCAGAGGACATTTTTCCATTTTTTGTACAGATAGAGTGGGAGGGAGAGAGAGGAAGAGAGAGAGAGAGAAACATCGATGTGAAAGGGACACATCGAGTGGCTGCCACCCGCAGGACCAACAAGGGCCGGGGACAAACTGCAACCGAGGTACATGCCCTTAGCGGGAACCGAACCCAGGTCTCTCCGGACCGCAGGCCAACGCTCTAACCGCTGAGCCAAACTGGCCAGGGCTAACTTTCTCTTCTATATTAACAAAAATAAATATGAGAATAAGTAAGTCTCTAGAGGATGTCTAAATAACCAGATGTTTCAAGACTGCCCTCTAAAAAGAACGTGTAAAATAGGAGGTCTTGCTTCACTCCTTCAAACAAAAATCTCTGGGAATAATAAATATTCAATCTTTCAGTTACTTTAATCTTACATTCTTATAACTAATATACCTTGTGAATTATTTTCTTTAAAACTATACAAACCAATTCAAAAAAGCCTACCTCGGCTTGGCAGAGTGCATGAAGACCTTGCAGCACCAAGGCTGCTGGGGTAGCTTGGTCAGGCTTAGTGCATTCATTCAACACCTGGGAAACAGCGGCCAGCATGTCTGCGCCATGCTGATACGGCCTACGGGAAATGACAGTTTCAAAAGAAGATTACAGTCGGAGACCTCTATTGCCACTCCCAGGTCTTTTGTCCGAACAAAGAGCATTAATGCTCATCTTTACCCTTGTACCTAGTAAATATTGACCCTCAAATAATAACACCATATATTTTCCTTCAAAAATTTTCATCAACATCATTTTCACTCTAACTTAAGGCTCATGTTTGATATAGAAAGAGCATCCCAAAAATAAGGCACTTATAAAATAGCATTCTCCCCAAATCATAAATTGTCTGGATGGACAAAATTCCAAGTGTATAATGGTGAAAAGAACTCACTTATGTTAGTGAGATTATGAGTAAAAAGAGCTACCCCTGCCTGGAAGTGGCTCTGGTATCAGACACTGGCGACAAAAGCAGGCGTTAGAGATCAGAAGATGACTTACTATAGTAGCGATACTAACTAAAGTGGCTCTACATGTCAAATAATGACGCCGATGATAACAACATGAATGATAACTGATGGAGCACATATCTGAGCACTGTGCTGAATCCACTCACTCTTCCTACTCCCCTTCCTCTCTTCTCGAGTCCACACGTGTCGTGCTGTCCCTAGGATGCTTTTAACTCAGGTCCATCCTCTGCCGTCCTTGGAACCCTTCACTGATATAATACTTTTCTCTCATTGACAAAATGTCGATTGATGAAGCTGCCTTACTGGATCCTATTGCTCAGTCTGACAAACGGAAATCATTTTCCCAAACTGGACAATTTGACAGATCTTGAGCGGGGAACTGAAAGGAGCACTGAATAAGTTCTCAAGAGACTGTGACCTGGTCTGATAGTTAACTTCTCCCAAGCTGCAGTTTTAAGAATAAAAAACTAAACTGTCAGATAATAATCTCCCATCTCAAAAGCATTTTCCATGCCGATACTCAAGAGCATCCCGCCTCTTGGGTCTCGAGACACATGTGTGTAACTTTTAGACTGAGGTCATTTTTTTGTTTGCAGAAGGCTGAAGCTTAGAAGAGAGGCAGGACTGCTGAGGCTTAGATATATTTTGATCTGACATTTTACCTGAAACAGAAATCATCCCGTTTATCAGTACCTGGGCCAACCCGTTCATTGCACAACTTTAGGAAGTACCATTCACAGTGTTGTTACTGACAAAAATGAGATAAGCTCCCAGGAATCCTACAATTCAGTGGCTAAACATACGGAACTGCAGAATTATAACTCATTTCAAATGTATCAAATCTATTTCCTCCCTAAATATTTTTACTTTATTCTATTCAAGGAAAAGAGAGAGAGAGAGAGAGAGAGAGAGAGAGAGAGAGAGAGAGAGAAAGAAAGAAAGAAAGAAAGAAAGAAAGAAAGAAAGAAAGAAAGAAAGAAAGAAAGAAAGAAATAAGGACGGAAGTAAGGAAGGAAGGAAGGAAGGAAGGAAGGAAGGAAGGAAGGAAGGAAGGAAGGAAGGAAGGAAGAGAAGAAAGAAAGAAAGAAAGGAAGGAAGGAAGGAAGGAAGGAAGGAAGGAAGGAAGGAAGGAAGAAAGAAAGAAAGAAAGAAAGAAAGAAAGAAAGAAAGAAAGAAAGAAAGAAAGAAAGAAAGAAAGAAAGAAAGAAAGAAAGAAAACTTGGAGCTCTGCTTGGTGGTGTTGCAGATTCATCCCCTCCTATTTGTAGATCCATACTCTAGAACAGCAGAGTCATCTCCCTAATATCTTCATGTCTTCCTAAACCCTAGAGCATATATGGGAATTCATAATCATTTCCTTCCTTGTCATAATTCCTAATAATTCCATGCAATGCATCACAAACAAGGCCTTCTCTGTTAAAACTCTGTAAAGATCAACATAACACAGGGAGACTATAAGAACAGTTGAACTACAGTCCACTGCTCATGTCTCAGGGATTTATATACAGAAAAATAAAATACATGACATCATCTGTTTCATTATAATACTAAATTGCTATCCAGAAAGGACATAAATATCCTATGAAGCTAGGTTAGATATAAGACTAGGCCTGAAATGAAAAGACATGCTTGCTTCTCAAAGGTATGTTCCAATATTACTAAATTTGACAATCAGAAATAGAAAATTAATTTATTCCTACTCAAATATTTTCTGCCTACCTTCCCTAGATTCTTGCTTGCAATAAAAAAATAAGTAAATGCAAAATAATTATCATGATATACATTCCCAAGGGTTAAGCACATCTTACCTTTGCTTGCATATGTCTCTGATGGATGCTGCTTTAGAGATCAGTTTTTCCCATTGGACTTGCTTGCCCACAGACAGAGAGGGCACATCGGACATGGCCATGAACCGCAGCAGTTCAGGATAGACGCGATCCTACGAAGACAATTTCATGAAAAAAGTTAATTTCCAAATTTGAGTTAAATAATCTTATTTCCTTTCATGCAGCATTTTCACCTCCAAAACTTGCATTTGCATTGCAAATTACAATGTCTTTCTTCTAATCAGCAGAGAAGAATGCTGTTGTGATTGCTGGGGATTTTCTTATAGTCCCATGTACTGTTCATCATAAAACCAGGGGGAAAAAGTGGCTAATTACAAAGGCTCTAATCACTTATAATCACATTTCTATTGCTTTTTCATGAAAACGAAGAAAGAAATTTCAGAATTAAAGAAATAAGATTATTTTCTAGTCTGTTTCTCTGAGAGTCAATAACAACTGACTGCATTACCGATCTAGCAGCACGATCAATCAAAACCTTTCCAACACAATCACTGATGGCACACACTAATACCAGAGTGTCAAAGCACTATTGCACATAATGACAAAATTTGTTTTCTTTACTGAGAGAACCACATTTAATACTCACACCATGTGTATCTGAGCTTACCTGCTTTTCCCACAAAGATGTCAACAAGCGCAAAGTGACAGCTCTTAGCTGTGGAGTGGTTCCAAGAAGTTGGATTACTCGTAGAATTTGTCCTATGCACACCTAGGAAATATATTTTTAAATCTACATTTCATAAATGTCAATGTAGATGATCCCAAGGTTATCAAAAAATTTTTTAAAAACCTCATTCTAAAATAAAGACCTAAATGTAAGCTGACTATAGTATTATCCATTTTCTCAAAGGTTGGGATAGCTTTGAGAGGGGTAGCTAGCAATCCTGGGAACATGAAGACCTTATTTCAGATAACAGCCATTGGAAAAACTTGGTTATTAATTGATGTAAAAGAATTCCTTGTTAAATATTTTAATAAATACTTTTGGCCCAACAAGGGACGTAGTGATCACAGAAAATTAAGGGCTCAAAATTTCATATACCGACCAAAATCCAATGTATTATTCACACCTCACTTTCTTTTATCCCTCAAGTAAATTGTATAATATACAAACCTTGTGAACACCAAGTGTAGGTAAAGTATATAAGATATTAATGTATAATACAGGTTCCAGTGGTCTTCCCAATTTGAACATCAAAACTGGAATCAAAGTTGGTACCTAAAGTGAATTTAAAGAAGATATTAACTATGCTTTATAAAGCAATCATTTCATTTTTATTCAAGAGAGAAATAGAAATATATATGAATTAGAAGACTAAAAAACTATCAGCAATTTGTTCTTGATGGTAATTTTATAGTACCACTAATATTCTATTACTTTTATAATTAGCTGTCAAACAGCAATCAAAAAATGTTTTTTCTTAAACAACTATGATATTAACTCTCAGCAACCCAAAACTAGTTAAGATATATACTGCTCCAAAGAAATGTATAGTTCTAATGAGCAGATAGCACTTAGGATATATAAATAAAAAATGACTCCAATATTGAAATAGTCAATTATGTTATTCCAATATGAAATAATTAAAATTAGTTGCACTGTCAGGAGGGAGAGTTAACAAGTCCCCCATTTCAATCCCTATGCATAACACAATAAAACAAAAAGAGCAATTCATTTCTGGACCAGAAGAATGAATGATGTTAAGATAGTAATATTTCCCAAGTAGATCTACAAATGCAATGCCATCCCTACCAAAATCCCAACTGGTTTCTTTGGTAAAATTAAAGAAGTAATCCTAAAATTCATATGGAAGAGTAAGGGAATTCAAATAGCCAAAATAATTTTGAAAAAGAAGAACAAAGTTTGAGAAATCAAACTTTCCAATTTCAAACTTTACTATAAAGCCAAAGTAATCAAAACAGTGTGGTACTGGAATAAGAATAGAAATACAGAACAATAAAAAATAATAATAATAACCTCAGAGTCCAGAAATAAATCCTTACATTTATGTTCAATTGTTTTTTGACAAATATACCAATAAAATACAATGGAGAAGGAAGAGTCTCTTTGACAATAGATGCTGGATTTCAACAACTAGATATTCACATGCAAAAGAATACATTTGACCCTCTTCCTCACAGCACACATAAAAATGAATTCAAATTAGATTTTAGACTAAAATATAATAGCTAGATGTATGGCTCTTAAGAAAAATACAGTTGACTCTTGAAAAACACACAATAGAAAATTCACACAAAACTACCATAGGAGAAATTTTTTGTGACCTTGGGTTAGACATAGCCTCATTAGATGTGACACCAAAAGCGCAAACAACAAAGAAAAAATATAAATTTCACTAAATTAGAAATATTTGTCTGTCCAAAGATACTATAAAGAAAAATAAAAAGACAACCCAGAAAATGGAAAATATTTGCAAATCATATATCTAATAAGGGGCTTGTATCCAGAAAGAATTCTTGCAACTCAATAATAAAAGGACAAATAACCCAATTTTAAAAGAGCAAAGAATCTAAATAGATATTTCTCCAAAGAAGATAAATGGCCAATAAACACAGAAGATACTCAAATATCATCAACCATGACATAAATAAAAATCAAAACCAGAATGATATACAACTTCACACTCAATAGGATGCCTATAAAAACAAAAATCAGACAATAGCAAGTGTTGGTAAGCATGTGGAGAAATGCAGACCCTCAGACACTCCTAGTGGCAATGCAAAATGGTGCAAACCCTTTGGAAAATAGTCTGGTAGTTCCTCAAATGGTTACAGAGAATTACCATATTGTGTAGCAATTCTACTCCTATGTATCTCCAAAAAGAAATAAAAACATGTATTCACATAAAACTTGTACATAAATGTTCATGGCAGCAAAATTCATAATAGCCAAATAGTGAAAACAACCCAAATGTCCATCAACTGATGAATAGATAAATACAATGTAGTCTAGCCATATAATGTAATGTTATTTGGCCATAAAAAGGACAAAGAATCAATTTGGATGAAACTTGAAAACATTTTGTGAAGTGAAATAAGCCAGTTACAAAAGACCACATATTATATGATTGCATTTATAAAAAATGTCCAGAATAGGCAAACCTATAGAGACAGAAAGTAATTGCTTAGGATTGGGGAGCTGTAGGAAAATATGGGAAGTGATTGCTAATGGGTGCAAGGTTTCTTTGGGGAGGTGACAAAAATGTTCTCAAGTTATTTGTAATTATTTTTGCATAAATGTAAATATACTAAAAGTTATTGAATTGTACATGTTGACTGAGTTACATGCCATGTGAATTATATCTTAGTAAAGCTATTTTATTTTTTAAATTAAATTCAAAATTATTCAGTGAATACCAACTATGAGCAAGAAACTACTTGAGCGCACAAAAATTTTTATTTTCTACATAGTGCATTTCTCAGTTTTGTTGCCTAGAATTTTTTAAAATTTTCTCTATCTGCTGTATTGGTAAAAAGCCTATTTCTTCTTTGCTTAGAAGGTATTTACTTCAATTCCATTTTTAAGAGGAAAAAAATCTTAACCCTACCAACAAAAATGTAACTATTAAAAATGCATTCATTAATGAACCTGACCATATTATACCAGAGCAGCATTTAGAGATACGCATATAATAGCTATTGACTCTCAACACACAGCCAGAATTTATGATTTTTAAACAGTAGCTGGGACTCTATTAGAACAGAATTGTCATCATCCTAACCTTGAGCAAATGAAGGGAGACCAATTTTTTAATTGGCTTCTTATTCCCCATTTTAATGAAAAACAAAAGGTTACCTTAGATTGTCTGTACATGTCTCAATGAATTACCCTTTCTGGGAAGAGTGCTACCCAGACACTTGGACAGATTCTTAGTTCTGGGAAGAGCAAGCAGTACATTTAGTGGCATTTTATAAAATAATGTATTTAGTTGTGTGGCTTTTAAACAACTGTTTTAATTATAAGGGAAAAACTAAAGTGCTCTATGCTAATAAGTACATCCTTAGAACTAAAGAAGAAGGTAAGGGTGTTTATTTTCTCTGGCAAGTTCAGAAATGAGAAAACAAAGTAGAAAACTTTTACAGTGAATAATCCTAGGCTTAATAGAGTTTGTTTTTGTTTGTTTGTTTTTCTTTTTGCATTTATTTTTTGCTATTCCAATTTAGAATTTTTTTTAATTAATTTATTTTTGTTACAGATGTTTCTCCCCCCTCGCCCTCCCACCCCGGACACCCTCCTCCCTTATCCCAGCCCCTGCCAAGCATTGTTGTCTATGTCTATTGGTTATGCACACATGCATATAAGTTCTCCGGTTTATCTCATCCCACCCCAACCCGCACCCCTCTCATCTGAGGTTTGTCAGCCTGAACCATACTCCTTTCTATGTCTCTAGGTCTGTTTTGTTCATCAGCTTTTTCTGTTCACTATATTCTACAAATAAGTGAGATCATGGGATATTTGTCTTTCTCTGATTGGCTTTTTTCACAGGGTATAGTCCTAGAAGTGGGATCACTGGGTCAAATGGCAGTTCAATTTTTAATTTTTTGAGGTAACACCATCGTGTTTTCCACAGTGGCTGCATTACCCTGTATTCCCACCAGCAGTGTACCAGAGTCCCCTTTTCTCCACACCCTCGCCAACACTTGTTGTTTGATGATTTGTTGATGGCGGCCATTCTGACAGGTGTGAGGTGATACCTCATAGTCGTTTTTATTTGCATCTCTCTGGTGATTAGAGACATTGAGCATTTTTTCATATGTCTCTTGGCCATTTGTATGTCCTGTTTGGAGAGGTGTCTATTTAAGTTCTCTGCCCATATTTTAATTGGGTTCTTTGTCTTCCTTTTGTTGACTTGTATGAGCACTCTATATATTTTGGAAATTAACACTTCATCTGATATCTCGTTGGCAATGAGGCTCTCCCGTGTAGTGGGTTCCCTCTTCATTTTGATGATTGTTTCTTTTGCTGTGCAGGAGCTTTTTAGTTTGTTGTAGTCCCATGTGTCCATTTTTTCCTTTATTTCTCTTGCCTTAGTTGTTGTCTCAGTGAATATTCTGCTGCGTGTGATGTCTGAAATTTTGTTGCCTACATTTTCTTTTAGGATTTTTATGGATTCATGAGTCACATTTAAGTCTTTTATCCATTTTGAGTTTATTCTTTGGTATGGTGTGACTTGGTGATCTAGTTTCGTTTCTTTTGCATGTAGCTGTCCAATTTTCCCAACACCATTTATTAAAGAGGCTGTCAACAACATATTGCACAGAACTAGAACAAATACTTCAAAAGTTCATATGGAACCAAAAAGACCCCAAATAGTCACAGCAATCTTAATAGAGTTCTTGGAGCTATTATAACCCATATTAAGTCCTCAGGTCAAAAGAAACCAAATCAGGTATCACTTCTATAGGAAAAGACAGCTATAGATATATAGGCATGGAAATTAAAGTATGTTGTTGTTTCCCTAATGAAGTAACATATATGTGCATTTACTGATTTACTTGAGATGTCATTATGAACTCTTAACTGTGCTGTTCTTGGGCTCTCTACAATCTAGAGTAAGTGCCCTATAATTCACTGAATCAAGACCCTTTGGGTTTCATAAAACTCAATGCTTTATTTTCTCTCCTTCAGAATTAAGTCCTTAATAAACAAATTAATTTAGAATGATGGGATTAGTAAGGAGGCCCCATAATAGCATAAGCAGATTTCTCAGCAAAAATATTGCAAGCCAAAGGGGTTGAAAAATGATATATTCAAAGTTTTGAAAGAAAAATATACTATATCAAGTAAAACTTTCCCTCAAAAATGAAGGAGAAATACTGTTCCAGAGATACAGAAGCTGAGTGAGTTTATTCATTAGATCAGGCTTGTAAGAAATGCAAATAGGAGTCCTTCAAGTTGAAAGGAAAGGACAATAGAAAGCAACACAAAAGCATATGAAAGTATAAATCTCATTGATAAAGGTAAACATACAGAATACTGTTATACTAGTGCATAAATCACTTTTAGTTCTGGTATAGAAGTTCAAAGACAGCTGGCCGGTGCAGCTCCGTGGTTGAGCGTCGACCCATGTACCAAGAGGTCACCAGTTCGATTCCAGATTGTGGGCCCGATCCCCAGTGGGGGGCATGCAGGAGGAGTCCAGTTGATATTCTCTCCCATCTATGTTTCTATCTCTCTCTCCCTCTCCCTTCCTCTCT